CCGGCACGGCTTTGTACTGGACACTGCCCACCCGTTATTCCCGAACGTCACTCATTGTGTTCGAATTAAAAGTTTTTAAGTGTCCCCCTCTCCTAAGCCAGTTTAGGGCTTGACCGGGGGCCGGTTTGCAATTTTTTTATTGTAAAGCGGTTCGCGGAATTTATGTTAATAGTATGTAAAAATGATTTTTATTTAAGTTACGTTGTTACTTATGTTTCTATATAATGACGTGAATGTTACGCGTTTTAATTATGGGACTACATTTTTGTCTGCAGAAAGAAAATAAGTACATACTTAATTAGGATTCATGAACAATTTTTATCTCCTTCAATTTTACCAGGAAATAAAATATCTAAGCTTCTTCTTCCTTCCAACCTTCTCTTCTTGTTATCACGTTAATTCTCTATTATAAAATACTTAATTTAATTTTTGCAGTTAGTGAATTATTAATATAGCGTTCAATAGCAATTTAATTTAATTAAGCTACCGCCATTTAGAAATACCTACGCATCAATCACTCTTTGGGACCTCACCTTTTTTTCTATTATTTGGTCGTCGCATCACATTTTTAACGCATAGCCTGATATTTAAGACAAAACTTCTTCCTTTCGGATATATTTCATAATTCCACCTGATTGACACATTAGGGATTTGTATTAGACATTACTTCTAGCTATGTATCACTTTAATATGATTATGCGCCATAACAAAATTTGTTTTCCAAAAACTACAAAATTCAATTTTTAAACTATAAAAATTGCAACTTACTTATTTCTTAATGAATTATTTGCTAAACTTTTTTGCTAATTACTTAACTCACAATTTAGACTTTGAAATTTTGTTTCATTGTTACAAATGGAATACTCAGAATCTCATTAATTCAACCCGCGACTAAATGTATTCCTTCGTATATTTATCATAACTAAAGCTTACACTAAAGCATTAAACGCACAATTTGCATAAGGCCTCAAACCCTCACTCACCTACTGCGTTTGTAACAAATACAATAATATATTGCACCGGAAGTACAGCCCTATGTGATTTGCATAAAAATGTCCGCTTTTTGCGCGTGCATTCTATAGTTTAGTTAAATCCATAATTAACAAAGACTTTTTGTGCCAATATTAACATGCGTTAAAACTAAAAAAAATACTCTTCGAAATCAAAATAATTGTAGAAAAAGTAAAATATAACGGGGAACTTATATTAATGTAATATTATATATTAACTGTTAGTTTTCGTAAATGTAGTATATTTTTGAAGTGATATGTCGCTTTAAAAAGCTGAACTGTATGTACAAAAATTCGCTCAAAAATGACTGAATAACGTGAATATAGTGGAAATAAAAATGTTCTTGCTATTTCGGAAATGTAACGTCGGTTTCTTTTGCAATTATTGATAAATAAAAATTTTGTGCCAAAAATTTTGTTCAACTACCTGAATAGATATATTGAATTAATAGGTATACATATATGTACATGGCCTCTTTTTATCCCGGATTTGTGTTTCATTCAACCTAAACCCTGTCAGTCAAACTGCCATAGAGCGGATCCATTGGAAAGGTGTGCGATATCGCTTATGCAAATTTCCACACACGATTCACGCTATTATAGCCTTTAAACGAAAACCACAAAGGCTGAACTTCCTTGTATTGCTTCGGAATAAAAATAATATTTGCATTATAGACAGAGAGAGGCGAAAATCAACGCAATCGCAAAGGTATTAATGTCGTTTGTCGCATATCACTTTGTATTGATTTACGTCCTTTCATTAGGTGTTACCATCTAATTTGCATGGCGCATTGTTAAGGGAAGTTTCACTTTTTAAATGGCCACAAAAGATTTTTTTTAATAAACAACATTGCGAATGCCCGCGAAGTTGTGTTCCGGAACATCTGCCGCATAGACCCTTTGGGTCCGTGGGCTTAAAAATTTGAATATCGAATGTATCGCTTTGCATAACTACCTGAATTGCTGCCTGATTACAAATCAATTTCATTAAAATATAAAAAATATAGCATTGAAAATTTTGTTAGTACATACATTTATAAAAGCAGGTTCTATAAAATTAAATTTTAATTATTAAATACCTACATTATTTATTTTTTATTTAAAAACTACCGACTTATTTGATTATATAGGCCAAAAGTTGTATAGACTATATCTGTTTACGCCCGGAATGTTCCCGGCAAAAGATAAGTTTGTTGTTTAAGAAAAAACTAAATTAATATTGTAAGCAACTATATGCTAGTAGTAACGCTATTCTAATTAGTTTGCAACGGAACTCAGATACACAATACATTTTCAGTCTTATAAAGAAGTTAATTGCGTGATATTTCGTCCATAAAAGGTGAGAACAATAGAATAAATAACAAAACTAAAAAATAAGGGATTAGCATAGAAGACCTTTAACTATGAAGAAATGTAAGAAATGACGATGACCATTTCTAACACAGCGGAGTACGTAAGTTCAAATAAGCTGCGATGCAAAACAAATCTAGTGACAGGGAAATAGATTATTTTACATGAACAGACTTTTCAAATTTTCGAATTTTTAAATCGCAGAGTTTAATGTATTGTATTTGTGCAATTTACACGGAATAAGTGCTAGTAAAGATACGTTTGCATTAGCTATCTGTTACATAAAAGACGTAAGTTTGCATTGAAACGTCAAGTTAACTTGTCCATAAGGCTAAATACAAGTTAGATGACCATTTAGACAGTTTTTTTTTTCATTTTATTTGTTGTATCGTGAGTGAACTTACTTAATGAACATAAAAGAGAAAGTACCTAACAACAAATTTCAAGTAATAATTGATCACCAACAAACAATTATTACACGATTGGTGAGAACTGACTGTTGTCTTCTAGACTTTTTTTCCGTTTACCAAACTCACCGAGAAGATTCACAATGTATTTATTATATAAATACTTCTACTTCATGTTCGCTTCTACGATTTTCTTCTGCAAGAAGACCCGTCCATGCGACCGAAGCCGGTCATCGCCTCTAAATTGCGAAAAACTGTGACAGAACCTGAAAGTTTTCGAGGTATTTTTACGCGATACAAACGTCGCCGCAACACGTTACAAGTTATTTCGTGTTCGCCATAAATCAAGCTCCATTTGAATGCGCGATTATTCGCAACGCGTGCGTGCACGCGAGTACCCATAGTAGGTAATTATTAACAAATTCAATAATTCGTTAACATAGCGGGTCATTCCGGACAATGTCGCCCTTTATGTAGACCAGCGGCGAGTTTTCCCCCAAGACTTTTGCGAATTATTCCGCGCGTGGTCAGACCCGTTTTTCTAACGGACCCGTTTTACCGGTTCTCGCAAAAAATACGCGTTCACTTCGCGCGGATTTGCTAAACATGACTATTTTGAATGAACCCATTGTTCGGATGCATGGGCGGGAGTTCACGGTATTCGATTATTAATAAATATTTTGTTAGGATTCCAAAGTGATGTCGGCAAAATGGCGGCCATGTTGTGAGAGGTCATTGAACTTATATCACCTCGTTTCAAACCTGCCATATTTTATCATATTGAGTAAGTATTTCCTTTTAAATTATTCATTAAATGGTCAAATATCATTTTTTCTTAAACAGCTGTCAATGGGTCGGTTTTAGTTTATGAGTTGTTTCTTGCAAAACATTTTAAAACATCTAAGACAGTATTACGTTGACTCAACAAGATAATACAAAATTTCAGTTTATTAATAATTCCCTTAATGGTTAACTTCTAAGGATTGGTGACTCGGTGGCTACTAGTTAGTATCTAGTAGCCACTGCACGCAGTGAGAATCTGTTTATTATTGCATTATATGTCAATTTTGTTGAGGTTATGTTCATCAAATAACAAATTGGTTCCAAATAACCTCAAAAATGGCTGTATAACTAATGATGAATTGTCTGTATGGCGAAATTACCAAGATGTTATAATAAGATGACCGCAAATTGGGGATGTAAGTAAATGGCTTGGACTAATCCAAACATATTCACTGCGATGGTTATTCAGGGGTTTATGAATTATAAACGGATTATGAATTTACATTTATTTTAAGAATTCTTATAGTGGTAGAACGTTGAAGCAGTTGTCGTTGTTGCAAGTATCAAAAAACCCGTCCGGGGATCATAACTTCATACAAGACCGTCATAAAATATAATTATTTTTAATTATAGATTAAGTCTAAGGCACTGAAAACATATATAATACAAAATCGTCTATAAGGCCATGATCCGAGCCGGGCCATACTATAGTTGCAGCAGAAACTGCTGCGTGGACCTCTTAGGATAAAAATTTATTCGTAATGTACAAAAGTTTGGGTGCTATTAATTTTCGCTACATTAGTCGGACCGCGTTTAGTTCGAGAGTTAACACGAATGTGAATTAACTATGCTACTGGCATTATTGTTAAACCTGACAATGATGCCATAGCAAATCTACTTTCGCAAAAATAAATGTTGTCAAAAGAATCTTTCATTGCTCGAATGAGGCTTTGTGAGGTAGTCTGAAATACCTAGATAGTGTTTGCCATTGGTGTTAAGTGGGCATTCGTTAACCTAACTCACCCGATAATACGTGCAAATACCTATTAGTAGTCCTACTTAACACCGGTTAGGCTATTCATGCAACTGCTGTGTCTACCGTCTTCATTCATGACAAACCACATTTGCTGTGGTGGAGCTCACAGCTGTAACTCGGCAGTTGTATGAGCCGTTTCCCGAATATTCCAGCTCGACCAGAAAAATACCACGGCCTCATAGAAAACCATAAGTAACATAAAAGTATTTATTGTTTTGTATTGTCCGGTGAGTGTGGTAATTTCTCAGATCACAACGCCTGCAGCTCTTCTGTCCTCATGAGGACAGAAGAACATCATGATTTCAAATGATAAGAAAAATATTATAAAGAAATGTGTTTAAAAATGTACCTTTTTAAAAAGTTTAATAGGCGTTCAAATCATTGTTTTCGAAAATCAAACTGTGCGTGCACTTAGATGCCAATCGTTGATTTGAGGCACACGCCTTTAAATTCGAAAATGGAATGCCCAGGTTGGCGCCAAAATTCGGCGTCGCTCTCGGCCCGCGCCGCCTCACACACGGGCTCCGCCCCACACATGGCGGCCAATCGCACGTCTCCGAACACCCTCGCGCAACACGCATATCGATCTGCCTAGTGCGGACACCGCTCGAACGGTTTACGTTTCGACATATCACACGCTTAACATCGGCAAACAATACACATGTGTACCGCTCAATCTATTTCATACTCTATTCCTATGAAGTTTGGGTTCAATTTAAAAGGTACGCAAGGTACTTTTGATACTTTTTTTTGAAAGTTATATTTTATCTCATCTCACATTCACAATCTGAAAGATGCCCATAGGGCAGAAACATTGAAACTGTTTTTGTATAACACTTTTATTAAATGATTTTTTTACTTGCATCTTGCTAGTGCTTATATAAAGTTTTAATGATATTCTTAAAAATACTTAATTTAGTACTTAACATTATTATTCTAATAAAGAAATTCAAGTTAATATATTTTATTCATTATTATTCATTATTAATATCTATTCTGATGTAAATTCCAAATGGCAAATGCTAATAGTAGAAGGATCTGCATAACTTTAAATTATACTTTTTATTTATAATATTTATAAATCTGTATTTTGTGTTAATTTTTTCATAATTATATTTTAGAGTATTACATACTCTATTACTTTGCAACATTTACTCGATGACAGACATTTGAGCCCCTGAGTGAAACTGCGCCATCTTTTGAACTATATCAGTAACTCTATGATGGCGTCTACAATTCAAAATTTGAGTTACTTGTTACCAGGGTATACTAGTTTTATTAATTTTATACTAGATGGCATTTTAATCTCTTTGAAGAAGAAATATGGTTATAAATTACGATCTTGGCTAGTAAAACAATTAATAACAATAATAATCTTTATTTATAATCAAAACCCATTTCAATCATAAAATAAAAATACTAGGTATTACAGAAACAAAAATAACATTTTAAAAATTGACAGACTGTATCGACCGAAACAGAAATCTATTGGTGTTTTCTGTTTATGACCCGTTGTCCAAAAAAAGGTATGTCAAAAATATTTGACATCTACGGATTCGAATTTGGAAAAATGTCATGTTTTATTTTTCCATCAGCGCCGGATGTTTTTCGACCTAATAAAAAATTTAATTCGATAGAGAAAAATCACAAATGAAATAATCAACAAGCAGAATTCAATGGTAAAAGAACACCGTCCAGGGATACTCGCAACCAACACCATAAATTAGGGTTGCCGAAAAAATATCGATATATCGATATTTTATGCCGATATATTTTGATTAGATATAACGATATATATCGGATATAACAATTTAGATTTATAAAAGAAATTTGATTAAAATTAATAAATAATTTACGTTTTATTAAAATTTCGCATTCCTTAAAATAGTGTGAATTTGTTATAAAAATTACTATTACTTATTATTGAATCAACTTGAACTAAATACATAATGATTTTAAAACCGAAAATTTGACAGATATTTTTTTTCCGATATATCGAGGCCGATATTGATATTTTTATAAATATCGATATATCGATATATTTTTCGACTTTCGGCATCCCTACCATAAATGAATGAGTATCGTATAAGTGGCAGTAGGAAATAAAAAAAATAAAAAATAAGTGGCAGTAAGTGTTCGCGCATCACGGTTGCTAATACCTTGCAACCGTCGATCGATGGTATCTAGTTTTTACCACGTTGTATGTACTATAGTGACAGGGCCGTATTTAGAGGAGGGCAATCGGGGCTACACTCAATAGACTTCACAATAGAAAAGTTTCAAATTCAGACTAGTAAACAAGTTCCGTTAGTTAACACTAAAATTTAATTTTAGATAATTCTTGTTCCAGGTTATATTTATTTATATGTTCGTTAAATAATAAAATAATCTATACTTGGTTTCAAAATAAATTATTTAGTGAAAAGCTCGACTGAAAAAAATTGTTAATTTTATTTGGAAAATAATTTGAGGTCAAGGGGCTAAAATTATTTTCCAAATAGAAAAAAGGCCTCCAGACCTCTAAATCCGGCCTTTTATAGAGAAACTATTCCGTCAATTTCATGGCAGGTGCATCAGCCCATGGTTTAGAATTGGATAAAAGTATTGCCAAAATAACCGCTTAGAAAGCTGCCAGCGACAGACCAGCAGAAAATATGCTCTCACTCTATTGGGCACACAAACTCTTTTAGGAGAAGGAGTAGCAAGGGCATTTAACTGTAGGGCCACGCAACAGTATTCGCTGTTGCACGAATGGGCAGTTTCGTCCGGGTAGGTACCACCACAATCAAAGATGACCAACGTGAAGTACAAGTGTTACACTTCTGCGTTTCGTCGTTCGGTAAGTGACGTAGCCAGCGCCCACTTTATTAAAAGGTGGCAACGCATCAGCAACTCTACGTCTCAAAAGTCTACAGACGGCGGTTATCACTTATCATGTACTTTTTTGGGCTTCATCAAGTGAATGTGGTGACCGTGATCCACTCTAATTGGTAGATAACGCAAACACCGGTTAGTTGGTGTTATGGGTGTCCATAAGCGGTAATTACTCAGCATCATGTGAACCATATGCCCCGACTACCTGTTTGCACCCTTATCCCATAAAAACGGCGTAAAATTAAGTTCTTCACTACAAGTACAAACAAACATGTGAATATTTCATTCTCATAATGATTTATTAGAGAATAGAAGAACAGCTCATTTTTTATATTATGTATATTTTTTTTCTGGCAACGACCTTTAGTGCTGGAAGTAGAAATGTCAAATGAATTGGGTTACAAAACGAAACAAGACAAAATATAAAAATACCAAAAAATAGCTTTATTTAACAATTGTGTAGACATGTAAAAAAAGATCATTCCTACACTTAAATAAAAAAAAGAATAGCATTGTTATTTGTTACTATTAATTCCAAATTGTTAACAATGGATTTTTTTTATATTTAAAATCATTAAAATATTACGTGTGTGTGAAGAATACTTCTATATAGCAATACTTCATTAGATAAAGGTAATACAAATACATCACTACACATTATAAAACAAAGTCGCCCGCCGCGTCTGTCTGTCTGTTTGTTCGCGATAAACTCAAAAACTACTGCACCGACTTTCATGCTGTTTTCACCAATGGATACAGTACAATGAGTACAGATTCTCGAGGAAGGTTTAATATATAATTTTTCAAGCTGTGGTGTACATTGGCTAAAATATAATGAGGTTTGTTGGTGTCGGAAAAAAATAAGGAGTCTGTTTGCTTTCGCCGAAAACCCTTTGAGATGTAACAAAACCGTGTATTGTGGAATTGTGTATCTTATATAGGTCTACAGAAAAGTCCGTGATTGCATATTTCTATCTCTAAAGGATAAAATACTGTATCCATAATATACTTTAAAAAATGGACAAATATATCTTAACATAAATTAAGTTTATGGCTAAGTCCTATATGGTTCAAGGTGCAAAATTATGGAATACCCTACCTCTGGAGGCGAGACATTCTCACTTTTAAAAACCTTGTCAAGAGTCACTATTTGTCACTTTTTTAAATCTGATTTAGATATAGAATGTATTAACTATGTTTATGGATATATTTATATATGATATATATATATATATATATATTTATTTAGGCATTTATGTACTTATTTTTCTTTTATTTTTTTTATAACAAAGTATGTATTTATCTTATAAAATTTATAGAATTTTACCCACACCCTAAAATATTCTTTTCATATTATGTATATCCAAAGGTTGCCTGGAAGAAATTGCTTTAAGTAATGAGGCCCCCCTATTGCACAAACCTTACATAATTGTTATTTTTACCATGGTGTGTGCAATAAAGAATATTCATTCATTCATTCAAAGTATTAATCCTTATTATTTTAAAATAAGTTAGAGACTAAGCATTTCATGCAGATTCTTTTACTCTTTTACACCATTATACGGTATAAAAGGGTAAACGAATATCTTTGGAGTAAACTCAATAAGTTATGGACGCGAGAATACAACTCAAACACCTCACTTCACTTGATGCAATCACTCCCCCGCATCGTTTTGCCTACTGTTTATCCTTGGAATAGGTTCCCATGGGTCCCAAAGGAACAGGATCTAAATATTATGATTACTTTTCGTTATGTTACCGACATCCACATGGGCCAAGACACAGGCAAGTCAATAAAAAAGTCAACAATATTTGCTTGTATTTTATAACTTTCACAATATATTTACAGTACATTTCTAATTTTCTTATGTATATCCATAAGTTCAAGTGAAAAACTTCTCTAAAATAAATGCCTCCAAATTAACAATAACACAAAATACTTTTTACAAAAGGTAAGCAAATACAAAGATATATTTCCAAACATCTGTTGGACATAAATTAAATATACATCAATAATTTCAATAATTTCTAGTTTTTATTGGCGCTAAAGATGGATAAAGCTTTGGATGATTGAGCCAAAGAGATATGTTAATAAAGGAAGGTAAACATATTTATTCAAAAACCAATTTGTCATTCAAATAAGGCTCTTAGTTAATTAAATCTTGACATAAGAATAAGAAAAAAGCCATGGTTAAATTATCCAAATCTTATTTGAAAACTCTAATTACATACAAATTAAAGTCGGGTTACCTGATAACTGGATGGGTTAATTTTTTTTAACTTAATGAAATATTTCAAAAGCTATCAAATTGTAGAAAACATGAAATTTAAAACCACAGAGATATGTAAAGTATATGTACTAGTTGCAGGTTAAAAATATTTATGTATATTACAGTTATATACTGGATTGTTTTTTTAGTCTTCAAACAATAAATAAACATTATTACATCAGTGTAAAAAAAGTCAATTCTAATCAATACAAAGCAAAGTCAATTCAAATATCAATGTATTTAATCTGAATTTTTAACATGTACTTCCTTTGTTGGCTCACTCAATACCAGTGGTATATTACCATCACTATTCTTTGCCACCCAGCCAGCTGATTCATCTTCAATCTTCTTTTTTTCCTCTTCCATTCTTTCATATTCATCAATTTCAATCTGGTACTTTGGAGTAGTTATTCCAAAGAAGTGGGCTAGAGACTCACCAGCATAATCAACAGCATTTAATACTTTAGTTCCTGATTTCTTTGCATAATGAGAAATCCATGGCCCCCATGACAATGTAGCCTAAAATTTAAATAATTAAAGTAAATATTAACATAGTTTTAGCTGTTTAAACACCTGTATCTTTTTTTTATTTAAAGACTACTAAGCACGAAATAGAAAATAATAATTTCTTTATGATTTCCAGGTTACTCACAGTATCAACGTTATGTTCACTTTTAGGTGCACAATCCAAATTGTTAGCAGTTACTTCTTCAATTTCTTCTTCAATTCCATCACTAAAATGAATAACTTTTATTGGTCTCGAAATATTGATATTTACTTGTGCTGCTAAATCAACATCTCGAATCTCCATTTTAAATCTTATTACAAGAAGAACATTACAAATGATAGGACGTTTTGTCTAAATTAAATAGATATTAGTCATTCTTTATTTACGTTGTACCAAGTCCAAAAGCGGTGAAAGATGACATTGACGTTAGACAGTATTTGTTTGTGTTGGTAAGTAAAAATAACCACTCTTAACGCGCTGTATGCAGAAAAAATAGGTTTTAAATTATTTTTTTTAACAAATTTATACATTTTATAGAAGCAAAAAAAAAATGTTAATCTTGATCTTACATTCTAATGGACCATTGTTTTCAAAACATACTCTCGATATATTTTCTCGATAGAAAAAAATCATGAACCTCTAAACGTGAAATTCAAATAAAAAAATAGATATAATAAATGAACAAATCTTAATGAAATTAATATCAGTGGTGTAGAACATATTAATAAAAAGGACTGTTGTCTTAATTTGTTGATTGAAGTAAGATATTTGTAAATATTTATTTAATTCATTAAAATTAGTTCGAACGCGATGGCCAAAACATCGCGCCACCGCGACTTTGTGTCGGTTCTCTTCCAACCCCACACGTTAATTAAACAGAGAGCGCTGAGGCGCCTTGCTAGATGGATCTATGCCGCTCATCGTCCGCTCACCGTTACGAAATATGTTTCGTATTTATTTATTATTGAGAGTTTTAATTTTATTAGAACTTCGAAAACACGAAACTAAAAAATATATATTCACATATTTCATATTTATAAATTATTTGTGTGTATTAACCGTTGTTAATTAATTTATTTAAAGCATAATTTCAATGTCTTATCTCGTGATTGATTGGTCTATTAGTCCTATACATACAGTGTATAGGACCATCATTCTTTATGGATTGGGTTCAAATCCCTAAATTTTTTGTTGTACTTATTGTTGATTTTCTTATTTGGAAGTATTTCTTAGTTACCATTTTATTATTGTTGATTTTTTATTTTCACAAATAATTATAACGAAATATTATAGTATTAAGTCCGCCAATCCGCAGTGGGGCCGCGTGGTGGACTATGCCCTGATACCCTCTGTATAGAGGAGGCCTTTGCCCAGCAGTGGGATATGTATAGGCTGTTACTTACTTTACTTACTATTATTGTATTTGTTCAAAGTTGAAACAGTTGGAGAACAATCTATCACTAAACTTTTAGTATTAACATTTTTTAACGTCATCTATTTTTTTATTAATTTATTTAATTGTTCACCCTAAAATGAAAATTTATCTTATGCACGAAAAATAATTATTTTATATTTTTCTTATAATTTGTTTATTTCCCAAATTTTATAAAATAAAAACAAAATAATTAATTGGCTAACAAATTAAAAGTGAAAATAATATAAAAAATACAACTGCACTCGATGAGTGGTTTGAACTTGGGACTACAGCAATAGTTTACCGTTGAGTATGACGCTCGGACCAACAGGCTACGCGAGGTCTGTGCAAAGTGACAAAATTTCGATTCTAGTTATAATTGCTGTCGTTTAAACAAATAAACATTTATAAGGATTTTATCGCAAGTTTTTTTAAATTTCATTTTAGTTGAAAAAGTAATATAACATAGTAAGTCTTGAACATTTAAAGGATAAATTAAAATTCCTAATATATAAAAAAATGTAATAAAAAAGTTGTATTCGTAATTTCTGCAAAAATTTTATGAGCTATTTCTTTAAAATCACAATATAAACCATAAAAACAAAAAATAATAATTATAAGTAATTTGCCTTTATTAATTTATATGACTTTAAGATGTTTTTTTTTTATGGAGAAAAGGGGAGGAGGCTCACCATGGTAAGTGATTACCGCCGCCCATGAACACCTGCAACACCCGAGTGCTTACAAATGCGTTGCCGGCCTTTTAGAAAAGAGTATGCTCTCTTCTTGAAGGTTTCCAGGTCGTAACGGTTCGGAAAGACCGCCGGCGGCAGCTGGTTCCACAGAGTGGTTGTGCGAGGCAAGAAATGCCTTGAAAATTGCGCTGTTGTGGAACGCTGGACATCGAGGTGGTGTGGATGAAATTTTTGGTTCTGGCGCGATGTCCGATAGTGGAATTCAGCCGCCGGGATCAATCCAAACAATTCCTCTGAACACTCCCCGTGATAAATGCGGTAGAAGATGCAGAGTGACCCAACATCTCTAGGCAGAGCCGGAGAGGATCAAGCTGATCGGAAAGACTTTGATCGTCGATAAGCCCTAGCCGTCCTACGTTGAATGCGGTCAAATGGAAGAAGCTGGTAATGAGCGGCTCCCGCCCAGAGATGAGAACAGTACTCCATGTGGGGCTGAATTTGCGCCTTATAGAGTTTTAGGCGTTGAACCGCCGTGAAGTACTGTCTCGCCTTGCTGAGCACACCAAGTTTCTTTGAGGCCAATTTGGCCTTACCTTCCAATTGACCGCGGAACTGGACGTTGCTCGAGATTTCGAAGCCAAGTATAACGATACTAGCTGTGGCAGATAGGGGAGTGTTCTCGAAATGAGGAGTCACGACAAATGGGGATTTTTTAGCGGTTAACGCGCAAACTTGTGTCTTTTTGGGGTTGAATTTCACTAGATTTAGTCGATCTCAGTCTGAGACTTTGGTTATCAAAGTCTCGACTTCAGACACAAGTTTGTTCCGGCTCTCGTAGACGTTTTCCCGAGAAATTTTAGTTCGGCCAGTGTACGAGACATCCACAGTGATATCGTCTGCATAACAATGGACGTTGCTGATTTGCAACATGTCATTGATATGCAGAAGAAACAGAGTAGGAGACAGTACGCAGTCTTGTGGAACACCAGCATTGACAAATTTAGGATCGGAGCATGCACCGTCGACGACGACCTTGATGCTCCGATCTGCCAAAAAGCTGGTGAGCCAATTGCATAATTTCTCGGGAAGCCCATAGGAAGGCAGCTTCGAAAGAAGCGCTTTGTGCCATACCCGTTCAAAGTTCCTTCGCTATGTCCAGACTAGCTGCAAGCGCCTCCCCCTTGCTCTCAAATGCTTCTACCCATCTATGTGTAAGATAGAACAAAAGGCTGAGCGAACCCGACGAAAGCCATAATGGCGGTCGCTAATCAGCCCGTGCTCCTCTAGGTACCGCAGGAGCTGGCAGTTGATAACGGACTCCATTATCTTGGAGAACAAGGAGTTGATGGCTATGGGCCTGTAATTGGACGGATCCGAACGGTTGCCTTTTTCAGGGATCGGGTGCACTAAAGCGGCCTTCCATGATTTCGGGACTACGCCTAAAGTATAGAAGTGCCGGAAAAGACGCGTTAAAACCGGTGCCAACTCGGGAGCACATGTCTGCTACACCACCGTAGGGATGCCATCAGGCCCACTCGACTTGTGAATGTCCAAGGAAAGAAGTGCTTTGCGAACTGCACTTTGCCGAAATTTTACCTCCAGCATCGTAGCGTCGCACTGGGGGATAGATGGTGGTGAGTTTCCCCGGTTATACAAAGTCGAGTTGGACGCAAAGAGAGAGAAAAGAAAATCGGCTTTCTCCTTCGCAGCATGGGAATGGGAGCCTAACGAATCATCCGCCGTGTGCAGAGGTGGAAAAGATGGCTTACAGAAATTCCCTAATACAGCTTTTGCGAGAGACCAAAACGCACGTGTTCCTGATGGGAGACGCGCCAATCTCTCGCCAATTCTGCCAATGTGCTCCGACTTCGCCTTTGCAATAACGCTTTTGAACGACCTAGAGGCAGAGTTTTACTCCTTTTTTAATGCGCTGATATTTACATCACTAGACGCCGAAGCTACAGCCCAGGCTCGGTAGCATTCCCACTTTCGGCGTAATGCCGTCTTGCAGGAACGACCAAACCAAGGTTGGGATTTGCCACCGATGGGTATTGCAGAACATGCAATAAACAGTTCCATGCTCTGAGGCACCCCATCGGTGACAGAGTCAGCAACGGAATCTGGATTATCCAACGAGAAGCAAATCTGCCCCCATGGGTAGGATGCAAAGAATGACTGCATCTCGTCCCAATCCGCTGACCTGTAGTGCCATACGCGGCGACAGCCTGCAAAGCGAGGCTGTGTAGAGCGCGCAACTGGCACTGTACTCCTGACAAGACAGTGGTCCGAAGAACCAAGAGGAGGAGCGACGGAAACCAGGTAGCCGTCCGGATGAGAGGTCAGCAGAAGGTCCAACATCGTGTATGATCCTCCACATCTGGAAGTCGCGTAGGCGAGGTGACCAGTTGTGTCAGATCATAAGCTATTGCGAAGTCGTGAACAGATCTCCCCGCACGATCGGTGGTGCGTGAACTGAGCCATTCGGCGTGGTGGGCGTTAAAGTCGCCAAGAATCACGATCTCTACGGATGGGATCTGCTGCAGCACAGAGTTTGTAGCCATTTGGATGTGCTCAATGAGTCGGTCAGTTTCGGCATTACCGCTGTGGGACCTATATAGGCACGCGTAGATTCGCGGATGGTCGTCGCAGTCTACGCGTAGCCAGAGGATAGATAGGTCCCGTCCTTCAAGACTGCCGAGGCGACGAGAACAGATATCCTCTCTGACGTACACGCACACCCCCGCCCGCGGAACACCAGACGAAACGCAGAAGGATAAAGCTTCCACTTTACGCCGGTCTTCTGTGAGGCTGTGGTACTAACCCGGACGGGCATGCCCATTCGTGCAACAGAGACTTCTGTTGCGAGGCCCTACCACGTGGAAAATCGATATTTATCGACATCTCTATACCACTCTTCCAAAGGCCGAAACGGACTAAGTATAACGTCTACCGAGGTCTAACGCTTATCACGGCAAAGTAAGGATGTAAGTTGCATAAAATGCAAAAACCCTGTTTAAATTAAGCATTTGAATTGTACTTTCTCTTTTAATTTAAATACTTTACATTCATATTTACTATTTGTACAATGCAAAATAATTTTATTAATTTTTCTAATTCATATTTATTTATTTTTTCTTAAATTCAAAATAATTCATAACTAGTTATAACACGAATTCCGGAGTCATCTGAAGAACTTGAATAGTTGCAGCTGCCTTATCATGTAAGATGTGGCCCAATGCAAGGTGAAAGTGCATGCAAGATTTCCATCTCTCATTTACGAGGATTGCGGTGTAACTCCGCAAAAGCAAAGGGTAGCATCATGTTATTGTCGTGAACCAGCTATTTTGTTTCTTCTAAATCCGCGCTCCTATTCTAACAATGTTATTAATGCCATCAAGCTAACAGCTAGCTACACTTGTACAAAATTAATAGCGTCGTCACTTTATTAAATCTTATTCCATTGTATTTGTTTGTATATTGTTTCCGTTGTATATTTTTCTTCCTTAATTTAGGAAGAAAATTACTAAGTTGACATCCCTTACGTGCTTTAAGTGTCAATGCACTCCAGGTCAAGGCTAAACAAAATTAAAAGACATCGTTAATACCATGATTCGTATTTAAATGAAACAGAGTTTTTTCCATACTGTTAAGATTCAAAAATACATATTCATAAAATCTGATATTGTGCATAGTTTGCCGTACCCCTCTAACTAGTGTAATATTTGTATCTCACGCGCTTTGTCGCTCGCTACGGCTCAAGGCTAAATAAAAGAATTGAAAGATATCATAATCGTTGATACCAAGCTTATTAAAATGAAAGATCCGTTTCATGCATTTAAGATTTTCATGCATTTGACATTCAAAATTACTTAACTTATTCATAAAATCTGTTTAAAAATCTGATACTGTTGCCGTACTGCTCAAACTAATGTAAAATTTGTATCTCACGCACTTTGACTAAAAATCTGATATTGTGGCAAGCGCGTATGATATCGCGATTCGTGTTGGTATCGCGAGTGAGCGAGTATTCGGTACATCAGATTTCGGAAATATCAGATATTGTAAAGTACATAGATTTTGAACGAGCCAATAAACGATTTTCGGATATTGTACCAATATATCGTTTTTATATCTATAGACGATTTGTATCGCCGTCACCCACTTATATTCTGGAGAAATGACAGTTTATCGGACATGTAAATTATATTGTAAAATTTGTAAATGTAAACATTAATTAGAATGTTTTCATGCGCTACTCTAGTGAAATTTTACTGAAATATTTTGTGTTATTAAATTTACTTTTCAGTTCACTTATGATTTAATTAAGACGGACTAATGGAGGGTTTCTGCAGAGGATGTTTAAATCAATACAATGAGCCTACCGATTTATTGCAGTATACCGAAAAAAATAGAAGGTTGTTTGTTTATTGTACCGGTATTCAGGTAAGTAGTAAAAAAATAAAATAATGCCATTTATATTACAAAATGTGACAAATATGACTTATTTATTTTTATTTGCTTTTCTTTCCTTTTGCATTTTTTTTGACGGTAGGACTTAACATTGAAGTCCGTCGCATTAAGGCGCGGGAGGAAGGAGGAGGGATATTAGCCCCCCCTTAAAAGGAAAAGTTGCGGCGCCCCCAATTTTTTTAATTTTTAATTCTCGTTAAAAATAAGGGGAACCCCTTGGAGGAGAAAGGGTTCTCCTGAATCAGAAAAAAATAGGATTACTGATTCAGAGGGATTTCTCTATCTATTTTGACACTGCAACATCTCGGCTGCAGGAAGAGCAGCCTCTATGTTCTTGCATAACAAATCGCAGGTATCCATCCTCGCGCTGCAGCTTCGGCTTGTTTTTGACCTTCGGCAACCAGCCTTGGCCATTCTGGCTCGTCGGATGCCTATAGTTTGTTACAGTGGGTGGAGGCTGCTTTCCCTAGGTGCCTACGGCTCTAAAAAGCATTCTAAGGGTAGAACAATTTAGTTCTTTGACATAAATTGAACCCAACCTATTTTATTTGAAGACTATAGGGGAAAAATGATTGTCAGTAAAAAGTAAAAAATGGAGAAAAGAATTGTTTTAAAGCATTACATTGTGTTACAGTGTATTCTCATGTTTTACATTTAAAAAATCAACATACAACAATGCCTAAATGTTTGCCTGTATTATGGAATGTGGTGTAAGCAAAAGTTCAAAATGGATTAATATAACAGTTCATCATTCAAAATATTCAAACATTTGCATGTTGAAACTTTGCGTGTGTGCAAATGTAGTAATGCTACCAAAATAACAATATTACCTTTCCTTAAACAAATATCTCCACCTCGACATATGTCAATGGAAAACTGAGCCTTCACAGCTTTGCCCTTAATGTAAAAAATGAATTTCCTTGTCAAATGTCAGCTTTTGCCCTATAGTTGTAGTTGAAGATAATTTTTGTTATAACTGTGATGACACTTGCAGGTCAAACGCAATGATGCTTTTACATTCCAATTATGTAAGGACTGCTATCTCAACATGAAAGTGGGTTGTAAATTTAAAAAGCAATGTAGAAATTCCGATAAGAGATACAGAAGCTATCTAGCATTAAAAGATGCAGGTGAAGTTATTGACTTCAACACCTATCTCAAGAATAATGACGAATCCTTAACATTCAGGTGATACATTATGTAGTAACATTTATTGTTAGATTATAAACTTCCATCATAGGACAAGTTGTAATATGATATTATTTTCAGGCTTTCCATGCCCTGCAGTGGAACACCAAACATCAATAAAGTCAAAGATGAAGATAACGGTAATATATCAACATATATATATTAACTATGGTAGGGCCATGCAGCAGCCTCAGCTGTTGCACGAATGGGCAGGCTCGTCCGGGTAAGTACCATAACCTCACAGAAGACTGGCGTCAAGTGGAAGTATAATATTTTCGCGTTTCGTCTGGTGAGTGAGGTGGCCGGAGCCCAATTTTTCAAAAGGTTGTCAATGTATCTGCAACCATCAGGTATTGCAGATGTCCATGAGCGGCGGTATTCACTTAACATCAGGTGAACCGCCTTTTCATTTGGCAACTTTTGCCATAAAAAAAAAATCAATCAACAAATATATTCAGGATTTACCAAATACATGAATACTTACCTAATGCAAAACACTGCAAAATGTATGTACAGCAGGTGGTCTTATTGCTCTGAAACCAATTTCTTTTAGACTATCATCAGATTCAGATTCAGTTTAATCAAAACATAAAGATGGGAGGTGTATAAATTAATATTTAGTGCACTATTCCTATATAAAATGACTAGTGACTCGTCTCGGCTTCGCACGGGTGCAATTTATTATACTTATAAACCTTCCTTGTGAATCACTATCTAGCAAAAAAAACCGCATCAAGAGCCGTTGCATAGTTTTAAAGGTCTAAGCATACATAACGACAGAAAGACAGTGGGACAACTTTGCTGATGCATGCAATCAGAGTTTCAAGTAATGAGCTTTTTCTTAGAACTCTAATTTAACCAGTAATGGTTTGAAAAAAAAAAAATGAGCTTGTCAAATGGGTATAAAGAATTTTACAAGTGCACAGCTGTGATCATGAAAGAGTTTTTGAAGAAAATGAATGTAATGAATAAATTGACAGAGATAGTAAGGAACCTTTCATGAGTTTAGGAGTGCATTGATTTAATAGCATCATCATATAGGTGAAAGAATTAAGAGTATTCCTAAAGAAGAAGAAATGGCAGCTGTTTACGAAAATACTGTTAAAAACATGATCCTATTTTCAATTCCCAAATATGAATTGTAAGCACAAATTTTGAATTCACTCAAGTTTATTAAGCTGGACTTTGGTAATGTCAAGATAGCATATCAGCATGGATGGACAAAAGTACCGTATGTGCGAGCGCTACTTTATTAACAGTGGGAAAAAAAATACTTAGTCTTTATAGAGAGCCTAGAAAAGAGAACATCTCCCTACTTGTCTCATTTATCTGTCGTGTTCATGTCAGACTAGTGTCAAGATATGTTTCCAAATACTTCTTGTTATTACTTATTATTAGGGATTTGTATACTATATAGATTAATTAGTGGTAAACTAGACCACTCAATTTTGATTTTAGTTTTTGAGAGTAATAACAGATCAGATCTTAGTAAAAACATATTTACTTAGTTGGGTGGATCTAAATTTATTTTTCAACAAGCAAGTAACCAAATGTATGATTTTAAGACTTGTTTATCTACATTTTACAGAATGATAATAAATAGGTGTAAGATCTGCTAGAAGTTTTTTTAAGATTTAATTAATTGTGAGAGAATGTATGTTATGATTGAATGACAATTAAATATAAAATTTAGACTACTATCTAAAATCATAAAAGTTGAATATTTCATTCATCTTTAAAAATTAATACTATATTTACACAACTCCCATTGAGCTAATGACTTCAAATTTTGAACATAAATTAGAACTGGATGACAATAATATGTTAGTTCCTTGTTTGTCTGTTTATTCTATTGCTTTGTGGGATCATATTATTGTTTATTTTCATTTTAAAAAAGGACACTATTAAAAGTTTTGGAGACAATAATTAATATAGTTATATGTTTTAGAGAGAATTTACGTTATGATTGAATGAGAATTAAAATAAAATTTAGACTATATAAAATCATAAAAGATTAATATTTCATTCATCTTTAAAAATGAATACTATATTTACACAACTCCCATTGAGCTAATGACTTCAAATTTTGAACATAAATTAGAACTGGATGACAATTGTATGATAGTTCCTTGTTTGTCTGTTTATTCTATTGCTTTGTGGAATCATATTATTTTTTATTTTCATTTTAAAAAAGGACAATGTTAAACGTTTTGGAGACAATAATAATATTGTTATATGTTTTAGGTGTTGACTGAAAATAATTATATGAAAAGTGGATTCCTTTTTTTAGAGTAAAGTTAACAAAAGTTAAAGTTATTTATTTATTGTTATGTCACTCCTAAAAAATATACATATTAAAAATGTTATCTTGCCACTTTTTAACATTTTTTTAAAATTAACACAAAAGTAATATTTATTTATTGTAATGTCGCTCCTAAAAATATACATTTTTAAAAATGTTATCTTTCACTTTTTGCCCTACATGCCTTAATATGAAATTGATGTTTTAGAATCAACATGTACAAGTATACAGAACTTTATTGCTGATATAATGGAATCGGAGGAGATACGGATACCTGCAACGGAAGCACGCATTATACGGGAGGTAATAGAGGAAGAAGCAGATGTCTTAGATGACTCTCTAGATTCGCATTGGTTGCAGGATGATGTTTCTATTGAAACTGACTTCAAGCTAGACTTCAGGTAACTTGCAATTACTTTTTCAAGTTGTGTACTTTTATGTAACTTCCTTTCTAAATAGTCACTTCAATTGCCATCAATTCCAGATTTTTTTGCAAGTTTACCTGACTTTTCGTTAAAATTATATTTTGCAATAGTTTCAGTCCATTTACAACTCCAAATTATATTAACGACGACCACTGCTACACACCGAAGAAGCTCGAGAATGACACATTGCCGAGGCTTTCTCCAAACTTTTCCCCCAAAGTTGAAATTCCGAGCCAGGGCTGTCAAGATTTTGCAAAACAAAATCTCGCAATCGTAGATGACACGCAGCAGTGTACAATTGACAGAAACTTGGAGAATGCATTACAAGACGAGACTAACGAAAATTTCTATTTACATGATCTACTTGTTACTCCTCCATGTAAGAAATTTAATCATTTATATATAGGTCATGGTTTAAATTAATTTCTTGCTTGTGAAATACATAAAATTATGTACAAGCCAAAATCTGTCTTGCTTACTGTTATTGCTTTGTTATTCAAGTAACAAAAAAAATAACAGATGTGATTTTGTAGTTTATTGTAATAATTTTACATATTATTTAATTGTACTAAGTTATATGTGGTGTAGTCAAATTAAATATGCTATTGATGATTGATTTAAAGTATAACACCAACATTTTTTTACTCATTGCATATACTTATATTTAATGATAGTATTTAATTTCAGTCTATCCAAATGTTTCTGGACCGCCTACGCCCGTTATAAAGAATATTCTGTTCGGCGATAAACTAGAGGGCGCTGAAACCAACTCGCCGACAAATCCTAATCGACGCGAGGAAAACTTCGACACTGTGGAAAGCGAAGCGAGATTTCTAGAGGAATTCTTCGCGAACACTAAAGAACTCAAGGCGGACGTTGGGTGGATCGAATCGGCACAAACGCTGAGCGTGGCCGAGCAGGACCGAAATATCGAATGCAGCGAGAGAGAGCGAGACGTGCCGACTGTAACCGTCTCGCCCGACACCGGCAAGTACAGCGTGACAAACTTCTACTGCAAGATGTGTAGGAAGCAGTTCAAGAACCTCCCAGCGCTTAAAGGCCACTGCTCGAGGCGACACAAGTTCAAGATAAAAGATAAGGTGCCATACGCCCGCAAGGCTCGGATATGCGACCACTGCGGCAAGCAATACTGGAATCTCGCGGAGTTCGTTACTCACGTTCACAGCCACAATGTAAGTTGTTTTTTTATGTGAAAAGTTGCCAAGCCAGCAGGCGGTTCACCTGATGTTAAATGAATACCGCCGCCCATGGACATCTGCTACACCCGAGGGTTACAGATGCGTTGACAACCTTTTGAAGATTGGGCTCCGGCTACCTCACTCAACAGACGAAACGCGAAAGTATTTATTACACTTCCACTTTACGCCGGTCTTCTGTGATGTCGTGGTACTTACCCGGACGAGGCTGCCCATTCGTGCAACAGCCGAGGCTGCTGCGTGGCCCCACCACAGTAACGCCATCTTACGGTCGTTCAACTCGTCGCAAGTAACTCGAGTGAGCGGCTCCCCGAGTTCATCGCGTGTATCGTCAGGTGCAAATCCGCTTATCAAACCTCCATCGTGTCCAAAAAATTTATTCACAAAACTCATTAACAACGCTGTTCGCAACTGTACTCAAACGCTTGGTGGCGAGCGAAGTAGAAAGCGACAGCTCTCCCCTCGCACGCTGTAAGTGTTAAGAAATACGCGACGGTACACGCGCAGTTTTTGAGGGGTCGACTTCAATGGTGTATAATATATAATTATGTACATAAATTATTTACTTTATGTACAGATACTATGTTGTGTTTCTGTTGTCCTTAATATTGTTATTTGTTCCTATATATGTATGTTTATCTTACATTGCGTTTTTGCATTGTAGTCAATTACAATAAATAAACGGTAGTTCGTAATTTGTACATGAGTTATTATATAAATGATTAATATAAATATTTAATCCTCAAATAATTATGCTAAGTTACGTTAATAATGTTTTTTCTTTTAGAAACCGCAAGAGCCGCAACAGTGCAAACATTGTACTTTGATGTTCAGCTCCGAGTCCAAATTGAAGATGCACATGACAACCCACATCGGCAAATTCAAGGCAAATTCCCCTAAGAAGGTATGTTAGTTTATTGTTAGTAATATCGAAAAGTACTTAGAAGAACACATTAATCTTACAAGGTAGTTCCTAAAGAGTCTTGCGGAAGGTGGAAGTTGGTCGAAATAATTAGGGAAAATAGGGTCCATTAGATTCTTAGTGACTCTCTCTATCTCTTTCTATCATACGCTAGACGCTAGTCAATGGGCTCAGAAAATGCTTGCGATTCCTTGACAAATAAACCAGATACATTAAATTTCGAATTGCACTAAAAGATGAGTGAAATGCCTAAAGAATTTCATTCCTAACTCATTTTCATCGATCACAAAATACATTTTCAATAAAACGAATTACAAAATGTGAACTAATTAGTGGAATATAATTATGTGGATGGAAAGCATATTATACAAAGAGATTAATTTAACTTAAAGATTAATTTACTGCAAAACAAAATGAGGTATAGGTTAGGCACTAAGAGAACAGCCAAAATAGTTTTCCTTTAATGAACGAAAATGGGGAAAATAATAATGATGACAGATTAAAAATTTGCAGTCTTTTTTAATATCATTTAATCATTACAAATTAATAATATCAGTTAGAATCAATTATTTTAATAAAACGGTACAAGAAGTCCACTTACATTATTTCATTGAAATGACAAAAATATAGTTAAAATTTTAAATTATGTTTTTTTTAAAAAATGGTAAAAAAAACGCTACTGTAGTTGGTAGGTAATTCAATTGATTGTTTTGTATAATAGAACAGAGTTAACAAATACTGCTATACATTGTAATTTAATGAAATCGAATAAAAATCTGGCCAAATAATTGTTTGAAATATATTTATCCCTGTGAAAGTTATTTTGATTTTTCGATTTCTAAACAAAATTTTTGTAATTTTAATAATTTTTTCTTTCTTTACATATTGTTAATTTTTCGTGGCATACAAATCGTTTGCACCCAAATTATAGTACCAAGCCAAATTATATCAAGCTTGCTTTGGATGGAAGCCAATATGTCAATGGAAGTCTTCATCATAGCAGTTTTTTATATTAACATTGTTGCATGGTTGATTAGGTGTAGGAAACACAAAAATAATCTTAATCAATACTTGCGAATAACTATGAAGAACAATACAATAAAATGAATAACTCAATCCCTTGGATAATTACCCATTTAATATTTGCTTCTTCACTTTCGATATTCGTGGCGCAGAGTCCTTTTATGTTTCTAGTCTCTGGATGCCAGTAAGAATATAAAAATTAAATCAAATAAATCCGATTATTTTGATTTTTTTAGAAAATTCATGAATCTCATCAACCCCCGACAAATTTGGAGGCTTCAAAACTTGTTTTCCACAAACTACATAAGTAACGAAAGAATGTTTCGAATCTCGATGCCAAACTTACTTGGTATCAAAAAAATAGCATTGGATCAAAATAGTAACAGCCCATAATTATGTTCCACTGCTGGGCAAAGGCCTCCTCTGTAATTGTACACCCATTGGGGTATTAGGACATCTATCTAAACAAAAAATATTTATGTTTTTTTTCGAAAATATCAATCAAATATCTTTACTTTAAAAACTTTTTTATTTTACATTAAAAATTATATAGGTTCGTAAGGTACCACCGGTTCGGAAAGCAGTTTCTATTGAGAAGAGACCGACAAGAAACTCAACAGTTGCTCTTTTTAAAAAATATCAGTTTACAATATAGTATACCAGTATAATAGTCTTATTCTACCCTACGTGAGTATCCACAGTATTAACTCCACGCATCGGCGTCGTCGAGATATTCCGCAATGCTTTAACCATAAGTTGACTTTTGATTTTACGTTTAAAGGCAGTTTTACGCAGGTTTCCGCACGATGTTTTCCTTCACCGCTGAGCACGTGATAAGTCAAGCATTTAAAATTAACAATTTCATTGGGCAACGGGGATCGAACTCAGGTCGCTTGAGTATATTAATTTGAAAATGAGCGCCCGGAAAACGAGCTACAATCGCTGTTTGTTTGCATATAAAATGTTTCCCCCCCAGAAGTACATTTGCAGCGAATGTGGCTCGGGATGCAGTTCCGCTGCCAACCTCAAGACCCACCAGATGCGCCACTCGAAGAGCTACACGGTGCACTGTGGGCAGTGCGGCCGCGGTTTCTACCGTCGCTCGGACCTCGTCACGCATATAAGGTAAACGGAGCCTACGTCGTGAACGAGTTTCGTAATAGCTGATTTATTAAGGTTTTACCGGGAAAAATCATTAGCGGCAATGTTTACGACGCGCGATATCAACCATTGCAACCAATAACAACTTTTTAACATCTATATACAGGGTGGCTTTTTTAAAGACGGCCTCACAACAGAAATTTTATTTTTTTGGTTAAGTTATAATAGTAAATTAGCAATTAAATAGGGGAGTAGACGTGCAGTTAAACGCTGACGTACTAAAAATCACCTATTCTTATTAGTTACGCTGCGTTGGCACTAATTCTGATGTGCCTCAAATCTAAGAATTTGACAGCTCTCACATATACGTACGTCACCTTTCGTATGCATATAAACGATAAGTGATTAACAGAGTCCCAAGAAATAGACTTCTTAGAACTGTTAATTGTTTAATTTTTATGATTAACGTTAATAGAATGTTTATTGCAGGCATCACACCGGAGAAAAACCGTTCCCCTGCCAACACTGCGATCGGAGTTTTGCACGCCGCGACGTGCTCAACAGGCACATGAAATGTCATACAAGTATGTTATGAAATTGAAAATATATATGTATTGAAATTGAAAAGTTCCAAATGGAGGACCCAAATTTTACGAACCGAAATGCCATCGACCGCTTAGCTTACTTGATGAAGTGTCTGCGTGCTTTTCACGATATTAGTTTAGGACCATTTATGTACAAAAAATCATATTTTAAGAAATTATCTTGAGTTTTTAACTTAACACTCAAATACAATTTATCAAAAATTTCATTAGCAGAGGCGACGTATCTCTTTTTAAATACACAAATTAACATTTAAAACAAGTTAATTGTGTAAAATGTTACATAATTTTGCTAAAGTTTGCATACCAGATAGCGCCAAATGTTGCTAAAGAATGAAATGAATAAATCCATATTATTTCTTCAAGTTCATAATAATCTTATATAAAAATATTTTGATAAATAAAGACTTGGGAAGTAAACTGCCTGGCGTACGAATTTCGTCGTTTCCACCTAAATTGGACCTTCCAACTGTTATTTCAGACGAGAAACCGTTCGAATGCCGGTTCTGCCGCACGAGGTACTCTAAGAGGCAGGAACTGAAAATGCACCTGGACAAAGGCAAGGCCTGCCGCGAGAGACGCCACAAACTGGCTACAGAAGCAAAGGCTGCAGAAGTGAAGGCTACCACGAACACTGTGTCGGTTTATTATGCCACCGTTAGCGGCACCGATTTGATTCTGCCCACACTACAAGCGGAATTAAGTAAACTTGGATCAATTTAAACTGACACACTTTGTTACATTTTCCCAAAGAGTATTATAACCTTAGTGATAATAATATCTGATAATGATATCTGCCTCGTGTTTCGCAACAGTATTGACCATAAAATCTAAAAACATTGCAATCACACATTTAAAGTACACACCCGATTAATAACAAAACACATTTTGTAGTGCCAAGAAGTTTTGAACTTATTGTATTTAAATACATCACCTAAATTTAAATACAAGAAATTGCTATTATGTAAACTACATTAAAATAATCATAAAGGTATGAATTGTAGTTGAACAATGTCCGTTTACCTTTTGTTTTACATGGTTACACTTTATACAACATAGCAAGAATATATATTATATAAAATGTGTCTTAAATTTTAAGATTTAATGACTTCTGTCATCTTATACATAATAATACCACACATATAAGAAAAAATACTCTGCTACATGTAATTATGTAAGGAAAAATTAATCTAGAAAATAAAACAACCCATCAATAACACCTGATTATATTTCATTGACTTTCAGCTCAATAGAAAAAAAATACAAAATGTATGAATAAACTAAATAAACAAATAATTGGTTCACTTCATTGATTTCTAATATGTGAATAAATAAACACTACTAAACTCAATGTTAAGGCTATTTATCGCTACTTTCGGTAGACATCTACTTTTATTACATGTAAATATCATATATTCATAGTTTTAATTGTTCAGACTGCATTTCTGTAAAGAGTCAACCATTAAAATCCATGTTATGGATTTTAATAATACCACGAATAGCTTTACTAATTTTTTAACAATGTGACTGGACTTAATTGTTTCCTGTTTTAATGATATTCATTTTTCACTACTTGCATTAAAATTATGTTGGAGTCAAAGTTTAAAGTTAATATTTAACTAATTATGGTAGAAGTATAAAATAAGCTTATACATTATAACTTAACTTATTCTAATAATGTTAGGACCTCTCTAATTTCTAATAAATCACAGGACTATCATACCGAAAAACTATCTTGTGAATATTTTAATACTCTTTATGTTTAAGGACAATCCCTAAATATTTTAAAAGGGAATCTTTAGTACTCTAGTTGGGTTACAGTTTTAAAATAATAACAATATAACACTGATTTAAATAGTTCAGCCTATTGTATAACTAGTAATATTAAGTTCAAGATCTTGTAATGGCATGTTCTCAATCATTGTTAGGCCTTCTATTGCTGTTCCATAAGTGCAAATATTGTTTTATTTTATGCATGATTTTAGAATGTTTACCAGATAACATGTAAGTGTAGAATTTAAGAATATACATAAAGTTTAAAAAGATGTGAATGTTTCTGTCAAGTTTATTTATGCTGAATTTTTTTAGTTGAGTGTACCAGCTCATAAAACAATTAGGACATTTGTTGTAATTATGCCGAAATAACTGTACATCCTTAACATTTGAGTGAAAAAGTGAAAGTGTATGGGGTAAATAATTAGTGCTTCTCATAATAAACAGTAGTCTCATGTTAAATATAGACAAAAACAAAAACGATTTTTTGAACAATGTCTAACTATGCTACAACAAAACAATATTGCTCTCTTATCCACTAAACATTGTGATGAAAATGGTAAACAATGTAAATGAATCATACTACTTGTAAATTAAATAATATCAGTATTGGCAAACCTGGCAGCCCCTGAATATAACATTTTTTAGAATCATGATTTTAATTGAAGTTTGCTTCTTCAGAGTAACATATTAAATTATAAAGTTAGATTTAACTGATAAAGTAAGGTTAAAAATAGTTTGGTATGCACAAGGAAAACTTATGTACCTATACAATTTTCTCAAATAAAACTATTGAAACAAAATATAGTTTTTGTTAGTTTAAATAAAGATGCCCCTCTATTTGGTGGCAATTAAAAATATAACTAATATTATTATATTTTATTTACCTCTGTCATTTAATCTCAAAAAGGGTTATTAACATGTTGAATATATCCACTTTTTTTCTATTTTGTTCTAAAACTATATCAACACAACATTCAACAAAACTCCCAAAGTAAATTTCTCCTCATTGTGGCATAAACAATAGTCTTTATAACAGTAATTCACCTATTTGACACCATGCACAATTTAACACCCTGTCATACGCAAATTTCAAATTGTTCATGTCAATACCTTACAATAGTTACGCTTGAATTAAGACTTCTGACCTCTTGGCCTATGGTTTGCAGGGTTAGACATGGAATTGTCTGCAAGCTGTTGTCGCATAGAACTGTTCTCTTTACGCAGATCTGTTAGTTCTTGATTCAGTCTTAATATTTCCAATACAAGCTTATCATTGTCTACCTCTAATTTCTCCAACCTAAAATATTTAAAAAATTATACTTAATTGTGGGGTGAATACAGTCATTCAAATTGTTTTCTACAGCAGCTGAATTTGATTGATTTGAAATTAATATAACTAAATAAATCTGTTTACACTAAAAACATTTTGAAATGAATTTAACGTTCTGTATAAAAATTGTGTGGAGAAATAATTAATTTCTAAAACATATGAATCAATTAACTAAAATTATTTTTAATTCAATATGCATTCAATAAAAACAAAATTGATTTCAATGTTAAATGACAAACCTCTTCTGCTTCTCTGTGAGCTCCGTGATGTGGTCACATGCTTTAGCCAGTATGCCACCCTTGCTCGCTGCATCAGGTAGGCCAGAGTTGGGAACTAGGGCTGCCAATTTTGTAATCCAACTGTTGATCTTGTCCCGACGACGCCTTTCAACCTCGTTATGTGTCGCGCGCCTTTTGTCATCCCGCTTTGAACAATAGTTTTTCAAGGAATAAAAAGTTCATTGAAATCAATTACATTTGCAATCATTATGTACCCATTTTATTTGAATGTTTCAAATAGTCCAGTGTTCTTGTGTAATTTGTTCTTGTCCTTACACCACATCCCATAATACTTCATTTAGGCATTGTTGCAAATTGATTTTATTCAATGTTGATCACATAAATTACACTATGACATGCCATAACGCTGAACAACAATTGTATTTCCATTTTTTACTTTTTATTGACATTCCTTGTATATAGCCTGTAGTCTTCAAATAAAATAGGCTAAGTTCATCTTACGTCAAAGAACCGAATTCATTGACTCTGACTCCACCTAGTATGAGTCTGTTATAACCCTAGAGTGCTTGTATAGAGCCGGAGGCGCATATGATACATGTATGCCTGCGATTAAATACGCAAGGGAGTAGAGGCTGTTCTTCCCACAGCACCAGAGATGTTTCAAAATCGATACAAAAACCTCTCTGAATCAGTATTCCAATATATTTTATTATAATCCTATATGTAATCGAAAAAAATAACTCGAAAAGGGGTGGCTACACAAGTTTTCGTTTTAACAGGGGTAATACCCCTCCGCCCCTCTCTCAGCAATCAATTCGACGGATATCAATAGAAAGTCTTACCTATCTGTGTATAGTACAAAAATACTTGATCAATTTTTCGTAATCCAACAGAAAATTTTTATATAACCATAACAATTTTTATATATCCTGATGCATATTTATTCAGCCATCCTGTTGCATATTTACCCAGCCATCTCATGAAAGTTCTGCATAGGAATCGAATTACATCAATAAAAGATACTTACTTTCTTGGCAGTTGCAACAGCTTTAGTTTGCAATGGTTGTCTTCTTATTGCTTTCTTTTGGCCTTGTGTCGCAAACACTTCTCCAGGATTAGTAATAACATAGAATTCTCCGTTAGGTATCACTGAAACATCACATATTGTGTCAAAAATTATGCATTTTTATCTATTTTCGATAATAATTCAGTAAATGAGAATAATTGTATATTACAATGATCACAAGTATTTATTTAAACTGTTATCATGTGTGTAATGGCGTAAATACAAGAAATTATCATGTAAACTGTTATAGTTATAGCACTTCTGGATAACATGGATGATGAGTATAAATATTTTTATTCTACATACCATGAGCTGGTGAATGTGATGTCATATTGTTGTGGCTTTTTTCTCCAGTCATATGCACTAATTTGTAAGTTACCGCTCCAGCTTTAAGAAAAGAAATGTAAGTGTTAATGTATATTTATGGTTAGAGTTTTTAAGACAAAAGCAAGAATTCATATTCTATATTTATTCATTATATAATCCATATATGTTAATATAGTTAAATAAGGATTACTTAGACAAAATGTAATTATTTACATACATAAGTCTCGATAGTTGAACGTCGAATTACTTTCTTCTTCGTTGCTGTCTAAAAAGCTCGGAGATACTAATTGGGGGCTTTCTTTGGCGTTTTCTGAAAAGAGCCATAATTAAATTTATCTGAACTAACAATTTAATCCAATAAAAAAGTACCTCAATAAGCGCACTAAACAATGAAAATACATGGTCAAAACCCAATTTGGAAAATAAGAATTTTAATTATTATGAAGTAATATGTAAATGAAAATAGTGGCTAAATATCGCTCGTATTTACGGTCTATTATTTAATAGATCTTCTAGAAAACGTACCATAAAGTGGATCATCCATTACCACTAATAATTCGCTGTCTGCACTGTAAGAAATGGCGCAAAGTAAAGTTTAAACAGAAAAATTTCTAAATATTGAAACAGCAAAAATATATTGGCAAATTGTAAAACTAAGGTGACGTCCTTCATCAACGCACAATTAGGGTAATTATATAATATAGCTATTCCAATCCTTAAACAGAGTGCTCGAATATTATTTTACCTGTTATCAAGTGAATTTTCTTGAATGTCTATGTTAATTTCTACTTTGGACATTGCGCGTAATTATTTTTGAATTTTCTCAACTTGGTCACGGGGACAAATAAATGGTCATGTGATTTACCATAAACAATTTATACAGACAATGAATATGTACACTAGACAATTATTAATATCAAGTGTTTATACACTTTATATACTGCTAGCAAAGCTAGTTTTTTTCCTATTATTTTTTAAATAATAGCAAAAAATATATTTGTCACCTCTTTACAGTCAAATATATATACATACAGTCTATACATATAATCTATACAGATAAATAAAATTGGAGTGTCTGTTTGTAATATTAAAATAACCGCTTTTTACTAAATGCACAATATGGATGTATACACGGTACAAATTAAAATAACGGCTAGACCGATTTGGACGGAACTTTCACTGCCAGATAGCTGATGTAACAAGGAGTAACTTAGGCTACTTTTATTTTAGATTTTTTTTTATTTTAAATTCCACGCGGGCGAATTCGCGGGCACAGCTAGTTTGTTATAAAATTAATATTTAGGTGTTAAACTTTTTATAAGACTTTATAATCAAAGACAAGGCATTAAAAGACATAAGGTTATGTTTTTCAGTTAAGTAACATAAACAACAGAACAGACATCATTTTATTTTACTTTTAACACTACATTAGGAAATTTTTAATACACTTTGTAACATAATTATAAATTATTAATAATTTCTGAAGGCTGTTTGTTTTATTTCTGTAAATTCTACAATCCCTAATTAAAACTATTTAAGAAAAATGGTGTCGTGGGACACCAGGTAGGAACGAAGTTCCTTCGGCTATTGTAGAATCGACACAAATTGCAAAAAAAATCGTGCTCAATTTTATGTAGGTTTTTTTATTTTTCTCTTAAATTTTGCTGATTAGTTTTTATTTAAGTACAAGAAAGTATTTAGGAAATTCAGTATTTTAGGAAATAATAAATTACTTAAAATAAAAAAACATCGTAATTCAAATTATCAACTAAAATAACAAAATTATACACTACTCGCTTGTGTATGCGACAGTCGCGCCTGCGCACGTCTCAATTAACGGTTTTATTCCACGCACTTTTTTCCACGGATTTTTCTTACGGTTTTAGTATCACATTATTTTCAGTTCGGTCGCGCAGCAAAATCCCTATCCCCTCCAAGCCTGCCGTAAGGAACTTCGTTCCAATAGAATAGTATAAGACATGATAGCTTTCTGATTCCAATATAGAGACAATGCTATATTACATTTTATATTGGAATCAGAAAGCAATCATGTCTTATTCAATTATGTGTACCTAAAATAATTTAATGCACAATTAACGTCAATGTAATCTTTATTTTATAAAGTTAATGTTTCATGACATAAATTATAGTACGTTCAATGTAGATTTGCCATTTTTACTGCCTTGGGTAATTGTTGAATGGTGTGAACTAACCTTAGAAAAAAGAACGATGCATGCGTATTTTTTATCTGTGGGTACCATCTGATTTTGTGACACTGACAAGGTGTCTATTATGAAATTTATGTTGCGGACGAAACGAAATACGAACGAATAACGAAAGTGTATTTGACTTAGATATAGTATCGAATTTCGGTATTTCGTTCGATATTATTGTTTAGTTTGTGAACCAATTTGGTGATTTTTTTTACATTAATTCTTTTTGAACGATTTCCGTCTTCTAGCCATTAATTTGTTTCCTAGTTAATATTAAAATAATGCGAATATAAAAATCGTTTTATATGTTTAACTAAATAAGTACATAGGTACTATGCAATCTTTAGTACCTACTGTAAGCAGTCGCGTAGATATTATGTCGGCTACACAGGAGCAAATAGATATGCTATTGGATTTTGTACAAGAAAACCAAGGATTTGCCAAGGGGGTAAAGAAAAACGTGGAAGGGCGGGTCAAAACAAATCAACTATGGATAAACATAACTTCCAAATTGAATAACGTTGGTGGCGCAGTAAAAACCGTAAAGCAGTGGCAAAAAGTAAGCAACTTGTACCCTAATGCTATTTTTATTTACCGCAGTCACCCCACATCATAATATTCATAGGTTTGGGCTGATAGAAAATATTTAGCTAAAAAAGCTGCCGCAGCCTATCGTCGATCAGCTGCGACTGGTAGTCCTACCACACCGCCACCGCTCTCGGAGGCGGAGAGAAGAGTGATAGAAATATTAGGTGAGGACTTATGTACGCGGCAAACTCAAGCTAGTAGTCCTGCTTATAAGCAGGTAATTTATGACCTTAATAAAAAGATACTGATTCAATGAAATATTTATGCTATACCTAATCATTTTGTTAAAATCTTATTTTGCTCATAGCAGAACCTTCGTGACGATCAAAATACAGACCAAAGTTCAAGTGAGGAGTCTACGTATGATAAAGATTTAATCATCATAAAGAGAGACCCGCTTGCGGCGGAACGTAAAGGAGAGAATGTTTCAAAAACTTCCGATCAGCCAGCCTTTCGTGAGTTAACTTGTTACACAGTTGACAGAACTCGATTTTTTTATATAAATTAGATTACTAGGTCCTTTATTGTAATATTATAGTTATTTCTTTGTTAAATATCAAATGTAATATACATTGCAATATTTTCATTAATAATTTGTACACAGGAAACCAACGCAAAAGACGAATCCTTTCGCAATCCCAGCGTAGTGATTCTGACGTTGAGTTGCAACTTGTCCATCTTGAAGAGAGAAAAATTGAGGAATTAACGGGGATTCGGCAGGAACTACGAGAATTAACCGGCGCTGTGCGACAGCTTTTAGAAGTTATTCAAAACAAAAATTAAAACTAATTTTATTTGTAAGCGACATTTTACGCATTTATGACGGGTGCTTATTTGACCAAAAGTTACTCCTTGTATGCCAGTTTCATGTTAGGTATGGACGGGAAGCAAATTCCTGACATAATGTCAGTATCCTGTACAAATGTACCACCTGTACAAACCTGTAAAATCCTGTACATAATGTAAAGTTGAGCTAATTAGCTATAAGATAATATAAAAATAATAAAAAACAATTAATAGTAGTATTGTTTTTGTTAGTTCTTTCTTTGGGTTTCAGATTTCCTATGGATTCCGTTGGTACTTACTGTTGGTACAGCAGATTTTGATATATTAAGTACTGTATTTTTTTATTATGTTTTTTGTTGTTACTTAAATAAATAAAACTACTAATCTACAAAATAATTACATTATTCAACCTATTTTGTTTTACTTTCACCTTATTAAATAAGTAGCTGCTACCGGCGACTACCTCTGCATAGAATAGGCTGAAGGCGTAACTTTCAGACAGAAAGACAGACATCAAAATATGTGTATAAATTAAAGCCTATATTTTATTCTAATGTAATAAGCTATATTATTGTAAACTTTCATTAAAATCTGTTCAGTAGCTTTTGCGTGAAAGAGTAACAAACATCTATCCATACATACAAACTTTCGCGTTTATAATATTATATATAGTAAGGATGGGGAAAACATGAGTTAATAATTTGAAGCAGGCATCCCTAAACACGCACACCTTGACAGTTCGTTTACAATAAGTACACGAATGGCACCATAGACCAATATACTGTTAACGGACCCAAACCCGTGGGTTCTGGCTAGCCCACCGGTTCTGCGTCAGATGAAGCTTTAATAGTCTCGGGATTGAAAGCAAAAACATCAGTTAATACCAGGGCTGTAGCTAGAGTTGAATTTGAGGTAGGGCAGCATTGATTACAGGTAGGGCGGAAGTAAACAATTAAATTGAATTTATCATAATCGATTTGCCCTCGAAGCATGAGCTCCTTCTTGTATCTTGTATTAACTGATGTTTTTACTTTCAGTCCCGAGACTATTAAAGCTTCATCTGACGCGGAACCGGTGGGCTAGCAAGAACCCACGGGTTTAGACCCTCCGCTGTGGGTAGGGCCACGCATGTGCTCATGCGTGCGTTTAAGTATGGTGTGTCATCTAAGGGCCATCGAGGTCGCGGTTCAGACCGGAACCCGGATGGCCGTCGACTGTGCAATTAGCAATCGGTGGCTGGGAGCGGTGAGAACCGCCCCGGAACGCGGGTGTACCTTGTTTACGCGTTGTGTTGGTCTCGCCGTGCTCGTAGGCGAGGGCGAACTAGTGTGTTTGTTGTTGCACTAACTGTGGGTGTAGTGTTATCCAGCGGGACCCCCGGCGGTAGGTCCATCGTTTCTAAGTCCTCTTCGTCGCTCGCGTCGATGAGGACGTTTCGCGGGCGACGCTTGTTGACGTTCGCGTTTGTGTCGGGTTGGTAACTTGCTGCGCTTACCACCAGAGGGTTGGGATGATGTTCGGCTCTATCGAAGTCAGTTTGGTCAGGTCTTTAAAATATTCGCGAATCGTCGGGAGTCTGCAATCGCTGTGCAGGTCGACGTTGCGTTGATACCACTGCGCACCGGTTGCGCGGCGGATGAACTTATTTTGTACTATTTGCAACTTGTACAAGCGAGTAGGGTGCGTGTGGGCGAAGGTCATGCATGCGTAGGACATAATAGGTCGTACGCAAGTCTTATATAATAATAATTTGTGTCTTAAGGGCAGTTTACTTTTAGCGTTAGTTAAATTGTGTAGCCGGCCGGAGAAGAACGCGGCTCTATTGCGAACGTTATTAATGTGCGTATTAAATGACATACGCGAGTCGAAAGTGACTCCTAAGTATTTGACCTTTTTCTCCCAGGGGAGCGCTTGGCCATAAAGGGATATTTACACCAACTAGCATGAGCTCCTAAATCAATCATCATGTATATCAATACATGAACGAATAGCTATTGAACTGACCTAGAGGTCAGTGATCTGACCTCTAGGTCAGTTCAATAGACAATATTCTATTCGTAGACAAATAATTTCTGTGACAGAACATGAGCATGGGTATAAGCTCTATTAAATCCTTAATGATGAAGAATAAGCGAACAAGATGGTTGAACTTCCAGCTTTGGATGTAGAGATCCACGTCTGAGTGAGAGTGAGGTAATAATTAATTTTTGGATGAGATGATACGACCAAAAATAGCACTTATATCAAATTGTTTCTGCAGACCTATTATAATAATTAACATAATAATAAAAATATTTAAAACAGCTGAATTTTTCGATTCGCCATGTTATTAAAAATGCGAAGAACTTCGTTCAGATCAACTGATTTTGTCCTTTTTTTCCAAAGGCCAGTAATACCATACCAGCCATTCTCTCGTGACCCATTGACAGCCTTTGAGGCCTATTGATTGCAGTTAAAGTTGAAAACGTAGATTCGCACACTGCAGTGCTACATCCTATGGTCGCCACAGATGCAAAAAGTTCATATGTATCTATAAACGCCTCTCGTTGCTTGTACAACACTTGCAATGTATTTTCCATTTTGTCCTTGTTGCGACTCAAGTAAACTTTAACCACACTAGCCTACTTGAATTTTTTAAAAATTTTTTAAACTTACCCAAACTTTTCAGTGGAAGCATTTTATCTACATCCAACTCATTGAGATTTGCAATCAAATTGATTAGATCATCATCATTCAATTGCCTATTTTATTATTATCTTATCCTTTAAACGAGCAATTCTTGTATATATATATATATATATACATATATAATCGGAATCTCGGAAACGGCTCCAGCGATTTTCATGAAATTTAGTATGTGCGTAGATTCGGGGGCGAAGCATCGATCTAGCTGTTTCATTTTTAGAAAATGTCCTTTTATCCCTGTTTTCAGGGAATGAAATATATCATTCGAATATAACGGTAAATTTCGCCGCAAAAAAAATTTTTATAATAGCTCGGTCGGTAATCGGGCGGCCCCAGAACAGACGGCCGCAGTTCGTATCACGATCACACACTTATTTTTTTTACTTTTTTTCTAAACCTGATCATTGCTTTCGTTATTTTTTTTTATTTCCAAAATACATTATTTACCAAAAAAAACGAGCAAAGCTCGATCCTCCAGGTACTTTTTTATACGAGTACACAGAACAAAGAATTATTAGAATAGGAAATGAATGTACACACACTCGTAATGAGTTGATCGCACCCAAGCTATTTCTAAAAGAAAGAAAAAAAACAGTTGTATAATATTAATATACGAATAAAAGGATACCTGCGGAGTTTCTTTCGCCTGTTTCTTCTCCGTTAGAGGAACCTCATGATGAAACGGTGGTAGATTGAAAAAAATACTATCGATAGATGAAATGTATGTTTCCTAAGTCCATAAATAAATTATTTTGATTTTGACAAACTGTGGTATGTTCGGAAAAGTTGAGATACCTATCGCTACAATTTTTATTACAATAATGCATCATAGTTTTTGAATGAATAAATGAATGAATACTTTATTGTCCACTACACAAAAGAGGATACACAAAATTAACAATAGACAAACACATTAATGGAATTCACAATTTGGCAGCCTTATCACTTCATAGCGATCTCTTCCAGGCAACCAATGGCGTAAAGGAACTTTACTACGTAGGTTGTGCAATAGTATAGTATATAATGCAGTAGTAGAGTTTAACAGCCTGTACGGTAAAAGATTTTACAAAAAATTACGTTTTGTGGTTTGGCACCTTTAAAATGAGCTTCCTCGAAGAAGGTAGGATCTTCCCCTAGAAGCCCTACAAATTCAAATTTCTCCTTTAAATAAAGTGGAGTAGAAACATGAAATAGAACACAGTAGGTACAACATAGAAAGAATATACAAATTCCGGCGAAGTAGGATGGGAAATCACTTGAGACGTGTACGAAATTGAAAAACGTGGTCATATTTACGCATTTTTATTTTGGTATTTTTAAGGTAGGGCATTGTGATTTTAAGGTAGGGCATTGCCCTACAATGCCCCCCCCCTAGCTACGGCCGTGGTTAATACAAGATACAAGACACACTGTTAATGGCACTCACACATATTCACGTAATCGGAGACAGTGTTAGCTTGTCGTTTGTTAAGCATTCCTCCATCTATAGAATAGAATCAAAGGTTACCAGAGACGAAGCCTTGGTTCATCACTACGAACCTATCAATGTTATATGAAGGTCCAATGAAATAAAACGTAATGAAAATTGTAATAACAAAGATTAATGACATACAAAATTTCATTTTTAAATTTATTATTCTAATGTATTACTGAATTTTTAATAAATAATGGTTTAAAACAAATCCAAAACAATATCATTTAGACCGGGTGAAGCGCAAAGGTTCACAATTTCAGTAATGTCCTAGTGCTTCCTCTGATGAGTTGGTACATTCATGAAACAGCTAAAGCCGTAGTTATAGAGTACACGAGCATCCACAAATATGATAAAGCATTTATTGTAATTCAATGAAAGTATACGGTTTCTTTGTGGGCTTTAATTTTATATGTTACCTTATACGGTTACAGACCGTCGCCATGAGTAATCGTTTATAACTTCATTAGTTCTTAGGGTACAGTTTTATTCCATTCTAAAAAACAATATATGAAACGCTATCGAAAAGAATCGAAATACACCTCTCATCACTCTTTATCAAAGCCGGTGATGGTTGCCTTAACACTAAGTAAGTCCATTATATCGTCACCATGAACCTTCCATGTAAGTATCTTAAAGAAGACTTGAAGCCCTTCAAGGAGTGTCTGTAGGTTCAAGCAAAACAGAAGTATATGTATATCGATTGTAGATTATTGTTAAAGTAAAAAAAATAAATATGGTTTATAATAATCATAGTTACACGATCTACTCCCGTTCCTGGCCCTTTGTTCCTCAATAACGCTTAGTTAGCGCCCGCGGTTCCCACGCCCATCGTAAC